GCATTACCATAACATTTCTATTTTATGCGAAAATTGGTCCCGATTAACTTTGACAAAAGCAGTGTTAGATGGAATGTAATTTAATGTGTATTGATATTGGAAGATAATAGAACCGCAAAGCGAATTTATCTATATTTAATGATATTACGAACGCGTTGAGGTGTTGCTAGAGCCGAGCCTTGAATTGCAAAAAAGCCGGCTCAAACATATTCATTGTTCTGACATAGTAACATTGTAAACATTCCGTCCACGAGTTGTTAGTTGACGATCGCACGGCAATGGCAACACATCGATCAAATGTGTATTCTATGTCCATGTATATTGTATATTGTAACCACTACTCGTGCCCAGTTAGTCCATCGTGAAAACAACTAGCAACTGGTCTATCGACGGCAAGCGGCAAACGATTCGCCTCGTGTGCGGTCAGTTGTCAAAACGTTTCCTAAGTCATAGCAGCTACGAGCTCAGCTCACAGATGAGAAAAGTCGAGGAACGAAATTCGCATTGATATTTGATACCGACGGGTACATTAATTTTTGGTATTGTCTCGGCCGAGGTGCGGATTTGACATCGCCGTGCGATTTGTGTGTGTGTGCTCACCGTGTGGTACTTTTTTCCTTCGGCCGAAGAAGTTTACTTTCGTTCGGCAGTGTGTTCACTTTCATTTTTCGAAGCGGCTACGGACGTGTTGTATTCTGGATATTATCTGATCGCGCGCGTTCAGTCGCACGTTGATGCGTACGCTATACGCATCGCGGTTTTGGTTAACCCACGTGAAATTTTGTGAAAATTTTGGTTTTGATTTTTTTTTACTATTGACTGTTTTTGGATTTTTTACTGAAAATGCGCCTTCGCGCTTTGTGATGCCATCAGTGTGGTGACGTTTTCAGGACTAAGGACCTGTCCGAGTGACGACGGGTCGATCATTTTCATACAAAAGTTTATATTTTTTATCGATTGATATCGGTGATAGTTTGATTCAACTTGAAAATGGATTATCAGCAGTTGGCACCGCCGGCGCCACTGCCGCCAGCAGCCACAATGCAACTGCCGCATGTGCACATGCTGCAGCAGCAACAGCAACATATGCAACAACAAATGCAGCAGCTAACTGCTGTTAACAACAATCAACATCAAAGTCTGCCCCCTGTACATTTTAACGAATCAGATCCTAGATGGAGTCAGTACCAGCAATTTCTGAGGCAACACCACCACACATTTGTCAACAACAATAATACGATAGGAATCGTAAACGGTAGGATTTCAGATAGTGATGAATAAAAAATCCAATTAGATTTAAATTATAAGATACTTGTTGAATCTTCGTAAATCATATACCCGGAAGTACTTTGTCTGATAACTGTTTTATGCAGTATATAAAAATTTCTTACACGTGGTAATTTTAATTGAGAGATTTTATTGCATACGGAATAAGATATCTTGTGACCTGCTTAAGGGTATTGTATAGTTATCAAGTTGTAGCTTGTATATTCGTTCTACCATGGAGATAAATATTGTGTCTCAAAACAATTATTTCAGTTATATTTTATATTGCACGAGACAGCTATTCATTCAAAAATATCATTACAATATTGGTTTCAATAGTTTAATAAAACCCACTCCATTTGAACAGTCATTATATCTTTCCGCAATTTTTCTGTTGTAAACAATCGCTTCCTTGTTCAGCGATGGATATTTGCGTGTTTCGCGTTGGTAAATTTTAACATTACACGTCTAAAAAGTCATACCCAACAAACACATTCAAATTTTCTATTCGTATATTTATTGTATGAACAATTCAACTCTCATCGCGTTAGTTTTAGCCCAAAGGATAATTACAAACCATATGATTTATCAAAGACGCAGAACGTTGATTCGCTTGATACGGCAATTTGATACCCAAGTACAACTTATTTGATATGTAATTTCCAAATAGAACAAGGTTTCTGTGTATGGTTGTTAATTGACATGATGATGCACGAGTAGGAAACCATCTATGTGCTCGGTAGACGAAAGATTCTAAATCTTTTTTAAAGCCAACTAAAATTTTATATTTATTACTTCAAACATACAACTTGAATTGATTGAAAAATTGATTTAAATTTATTATTACACACTGTATCAATACTTCTTATAAATATTTATCATACACTTATATATTTAAGGAAGTCCTGTATGGAAAATTTTATTTTACTTTAAGAATCTGTGAATTATCATACCATGCAAAAGAACTGTGCGTGCGTTTTTCTTTGCCATGATATGGTAATTTATTCCCAATTAGCAAATGATTAATTTTCAAATTGTTTTGAAGCGTACATAAAATGAATGAGTAATAATTGTGTCATCTATTGGAGTTCAAATAATGAAAATTTTTGGGGTAAACTCAACTTTTTTTCTATTCTATTTTTTTTTTTCTTTCATGTAAAAATAACTTATAAGACTTCATTGTATCTCGATTGCTATTTAAAAAAAATTGCAAATTTCTACATTTTGGATTTTCAATATTCTGATAATATCTTAAAAACATAACTGATTAGATAAATATTTGGAAAACTATAATAAATATACAAGAGGGGAATACGTACGTGGATTTGAATATTAATATAATGCAATTGCCAATTTTATTTAATGTTTAAATGTTTTAATATCATTACATTAAAACCAATAAAGTTTTGATTGAAAAAAATTGTTAGAATGTTAACTATCTATATAAGACTGTTGATTATTTCTGTTTCTGCAAATATTTATTTGAAATATCTATTTTAAAATAATAATTTGACACAATCACTTTAATTGATCATTTATTTAAACATTTAAATTCGGATCTTATAGTAATTAGGACTTCAATTTTAGATTTCTATAAAATATAATTATCAGTTGAATATTGTAAATTTTCATAAAAATGTTCAGAATTGTTAGAATTATCTTTTTGATATATTTTTTGAAATTACTATTACTAATTTTTTTTTAATATCAATTTTTCTTAAATATAATACATATATATTTTGAAGCCTGCAGATATTTATTCAGTATAACTATTTTCAAATAATCATTTTACTTTAATATAATTTTGATTGACAAAAACAAACATTTTGAGTATCGACAAAAATTCATACTTCGGTTCTTAGGCCCTAATTTTATAATTCTATAAAATATACACTAGCCTTTTGTAATTTTGATGCTTTATCTGAAGTTTGTAAATTTTTATAAAAATGTTCAGAGTTTTTGTATTGTTTATTTTTTGACTTTGTATACAAGTACGTTAGTCATATATACAGTTAATCAATCAACTTTACAATTTTATTTTATTGGATTGTACATAAGAATATATTGCACCATATATTCTTTTTAAAGGCAAAAAATCTCCCTCCAGACTGATTTTATAATATTGTTGATAAAAGAAAGAATGTCCAGAGTTGTTACAATTATCTAAAAAAAATGTGGTATATTTTTCGCATTACTGTTAATGATTTTTTTAATACTTCACAAACCCGGAAATGTTGGCATTATCATTATTGTTTTAACAATCCATTTCTTAACTAAGTTTGAATCTAGCTGAGTCACTATAACTGATTTTCACGTTAAAATTATAAACTTGTTGAATCTGAGTCAGTCAGATATAAATCGCCTTTCTTTGCGGTGGTTGCTTTAGATTCGCGATGAAAGTGAGAACTGTATTTGCACTGCGGTGTGCGAATGCCGGAAGAGTTTGCGATTATTTCTGTGGGATAAAATAACATATTACCATATAAAGATTGCGATTAATCATTGGCGAATAACTATATAAGTCTGAATACAATTTGCAAGAATATTGTAAAATTCAATTTATTGCATTCATTAAGGGGATAGTAGTTCTAATAATAATTGCATCGTTTATAAGAAAAAGCCAATTTTATTTGTTTGGTTGAACTCATACATTCTTCTGGTTAGAAATCGAGTAAAATTTAGGAAAAGGTAATAGTGTAATAATTTGTTTTCAAACTAGTAAAAAAATAATTTAATTTCTATTTTATTTGATTGAAATATTTTTGTTTGTCTACACAAGCATATGTTTTATACAAAATTTACTTTGATATGTTCATATTGGCTCCCCAATTATTGAACGTATATTGTTCTCAGATTACAAATGTTTCTATATGGTGATTTTTCCATGATTAACAATTTATGCTTGTTTTTAACACATCAGCATAATATTTACTTTATTTAATTGCCACTATCTTGCACCTCCTTTATTTAAAATATTTTGTTTAAATGTATATGATGTCTTCTACTATCAAATGTATATGTTGTCTTTTACATTTTATCGATAGATAGATTAGACATCTATATATTTCAGATTTTAAATATGCATTAACATTTTCAATGAAATAAAAATCTCATCAATCGAAAAAAAGTTAAATTAAATATAAATTGGCCAGGTATCTTCTTTAAGATTTTTGGGGTGACCTTTCGATCTTTTTTTTTCTTTTATCTAATAAACCAACAAAATTACTGAATGTTGTATAAGAACTACAGATTGCAATTCTTAAATGTAAATAAAAAAAACCTTGTTATCTAAACTGAATTCTCTATTTTGCAAAAACCGCCTTCATTTATGTGATTCTATTATTTTGATAATGATATAACGGTAACATCAGTAACTTTTTGCTTTGAAATAAGTGATTATTCGAAACTCATACCTTTGAATATGTATTTTATCACGAGAAACGGTGCCGAAATCAAAATACTTGACCTTGGATTTTTAAATAAATTTGGTTACCAACATTGTGTTTTGTTTGAAAGTTTTTTTGATTTCTCAAACCGGGCGTTTTACCTGCTGGTAAAAAAATTAGTAAATAAATAGGAAAACATTCTTTTTATGAATTAACAGCAATCAGAACCTTACGTCCTATGAGCTGTTGGGCTGAAACTTCTTCTTACTTCGTATTTTTTTAGATGGTAATCGAACCTGGGACCTCTGAATCAAGTCCCGTCGCTCTTAACCGCTTACCCACGGGCGAGCCCATTAATCGGAAAACATGGTTTTAATATTTATATCATTGTTGATAAATGTAACATACCTCAAACTTCAATTAACACGTTCTTTGTGATGCAGAATGACATGAATGCTATAGCATTCAAAGTTTGAAATCAATTATTATGAATTTTATATAACCTTACGTTTTTGTGATTATTATTATAATGACTAACTTTATTGTGATGATTTTTTAGGTATTTTCATATTATCTTATCTTTTCCCTTAGTCACTAACTAGTTTGGGCAAGCACATACGTAAAATATAAGCGTAATACTTGACGTGGATGCTATTGCATTCATGGTACAAATCGATTAACATATGATAATCTAACTATCATTATAAACAGTTTAATCAAATTTTGGATATCACAACCAATTTAAATATAAAATGACTGTCAGTTTTTATACCTTGCTGATTCTTTTGATGTCCGGGAATGTGTTAAGTTTAAAAATGCATATTTAATTTGTATTCATAAATTAATTTTAGGGTCTCTTCTTTTTTTTATTTATTTATTCTTATAACCAATCTGAACCTTGGGTTCAATGAGGTTACTTGCTGAAGGGTACAGGGCTTATAGAAATACCCCCAGTGGGAAATTAGGGTCTATTTTTGTTCTTAGATATATATAATGATTTATTTTATTACTTTATTATCAAAAAATATTTTATTCCATTCAAATCCAAAGCACATATCCAAAACTATCTTTTCCTGTTCTTTCGTCCATCTCTTTCGGCAATTTTCGATCGGCTTCGCGCAGCGCAAAATTCACACGACCGCAAACCCGGAAGATGTTGTGTTTGCCCGCGCTCGCTGTGTGCCGCGAGCTCCGGAGAAAGTTGCCTCGAACTCAACACTCGGCCTGGCTTGGCTTACACTCATACATGCGCCCGTCCGGACGCTTATTTAATCGCGATGAGTACTTTATTAATGCATGATTGATAATTATTATTGACTTGCCAATTATTAAAAGACTTGGAATTTTATAGGATGGAAGATTGATTTGTAATCTATTAAGGAATTTAATTTTTGTACTCGTGAGATGCCCAGCTGGGAGTAATTTGAATAAATTAATGAACTTATAATATACATATTAATACATGCACATACATATAGACAGGGTGTCCCAGAACTCAACATCAAGACTACACTGGGGCATAGTATTGATCATAACTAGCATGACAAAAATTAGAAAAAAATGTATCGAACCTTGGAGTACTACAAATTTTTAAACTGGTTGT